GTTGCAAGTATTTTCCTTACTTACTGCACTCAATCCACTGGAGTACTGGGCACAATCCTCAGTTATTTCAATAAGTCAGTCATTAGTATAACGAATTTCTAACTTTACATATGGAAAAATGAAACTCTAAACAAAGGTACTTTCATCCATCTCAAGATGAGCTCTGAGGTAAAAACAATTCAATTTACCTGTATTCTTTCCTTTTGGACTCCTGAAGGAGCAATGTAGATTTCATTCCTAAGAAAAGTTAGACAGGGGAAATCAATAAACAAAGAACTATTCAACTGCACAAGCATTAGAGCTCTTCATAAACTGAAAAGGAAGTAGCAAATCTAGCACCTCATAGTTTAATAACTTTTTTGCACCTTCCATAGATTGACATATAGATGGCTTGCAAAACTGAACCAAATCATACAAGGGCACATGAAATCTCTAACTTGCAGGGGTAAAAACCATTCTTTCAGCTTGACAAGAGATCTGAAATACATGTGGGAAATATAGACTGACTTACTACTTACACAGCCTCATCCTGCAATAATTCAAAACACAAATCTCCAGAATTCAGAAAAAAAATGGAACAAGAGAAGTTGTGAGCAGATCTATGATAAAATGTGACAAAACCACTGCTTAAAAATCCACAGACTACCTATAAACAGTATTAAGTAGTTGTATTCTACAATTCAAACAACAATAAGACTAGAGGCAATGGCCTGAAGTTGCAGCAGGGAAGGTTCAGACTGGATACTAGAAAGAATTTCTATACTGAAAGAGTGGTCAGGCATTGGAACAGCCTGCCCAAGGAGGTGGTTGAGTAACCATTCTTGGAGGTATTCAAGAAACGTGTAGATGTGGCACTTCAGGGCTGAGATTGTGGCGGTTTTTGTGGGTTTTTTTTGGTGGGTTGTGTGGGTGGTATTTTTTTTGTTTGTTTTCTGTTGATTTGGTAATTTTGCTTGTCGTTACAACTATGTAGCTTAGGTTTTAAATTAATTTATATATTTATTTATACTGATAAAAAATTAAGATAATTCAATGCTATTACATTTCTGAAATTCAAGGCGCAGTGCATTTACTTCTTGCAAGGCTTACATGAAAAAAAAGACTGAAAATTTGATTTAAATTAAAATTCTTTTGAGATGGTATCTGAAATATTTTCAGTAACAGCAAAGGAAAAAGAATTATCTCTCTCAATTGTAATCACTACTTAGTTTCAATAGTAACATACTAAATTCAGGAGCACAGAGACATCTAGTGAATAAATAGTCAAGTTACAGGTACATTTTCTAAGGACCATGAGATGTTCCTATTTCTGGACCAGAGCACTTAGAAGAGCAATGAAGCTGACAAAGAGTCAAAAAACCAAATCTTATAAGGAGAGGCTGAGGGCTCTGGGTTTATTTCGTCTGGAAAAAAGTAGGTTGAGGGGAGACTTTATTGGTCTCTACAACTACCTGAAGGGAGGGTGTAGCAAGGTGGGTATTGGTCTTAATATAATTAAACCCCAGCTGAGAACTAAGCACCACACAGTCACTTGCTCACTAATGGGTGTCTTGTTGGCAAGCCTCCAATTGTCTGGCACCTCTGTTAACCAGGACTGATTATAGATGATGGAGAGCAGCTTGGCAAGCTCCTCTACCAGTTCCCTCAGCACTCTTGGGTGAATCCCACCCAGCCCCACAGAATTGTGAGTGTCCAGGTGGCATAAAAGGTCATTAACTGCTTCCTTCTGGATTATGGGGGAATTGCTATTGTTCTCCATCCCTATCAGGGAGTTGATTACCCTGAGGATTATGGGTCTGACTATTAAAGGCTGAGGCAGAGAAGGCATTCAGTACCTCAGCCTTTCCTTTCTCCTTGATAGCAATGTTCGCCCTGCATCCAATAAAGGGTGGACATTCTCCCTGACTGTCTTTTTTAATTTATGTATTTGTAAAAACTTTTTTTGTTATCCCTCACAGCAGTGGCCAGGTTGAATTCTAGCTGTGCTTTTGCCTATCTGATGTTTTCTCTGCATGATCTAGCAAGATCCCTGGACTCCTCTTGAGTTGCCTGCTCCTTTTTCTAAAGGTAGTAGACTCTCCCTGCCTTCAAAAAGCTATTAGAACAACACAAATACTGGCATTTAGAGCCTTAACTTCAGAGATGTATCTCTTTCACATTTGAATAGCTATGGCTGCTTCTGTCTGCATGCAAGTATGTCAGAAAAATAAGAGATCAGACACTTTTTTTTTTTTTTCCAAACACCTTATGACTGGGGTCAGAATTGCAGGCACTGTGCAAGGTGTTTTGTAGAATGAGTACTTCCCTTTTTTCAGTGCCCACTGAGAGGAGCTCTGTCTCCGTTAAAAGCTTATTAAAAGCTTGGAAAGCATGAAGAGGAGATTAGCTTAAAAAGCAAAGCGGTGTTCCTTAGTAATGGATATACATTAAAAATGGCTTTGCTGATACCTGTTCTCAATTATATGGTAAGAATATCTCCTTAGAAATTATCTTAGTAGAACAGTAACTTCCTTCTTAAAGGAAATGTCTTGCTTGCAAAATGCCTAGAGTGGGATTCATCTCATCTAACTCCAGGCATCTGAAAGCAATGTGGCTGGTGTAATCCACTCTATAGTCCACAGCTGATGAAAAGAAAAATGGGGAATGCATTGCTCTTCAAAGGCTTAAACAAATACTTAAACAAATATAGGAAAAGGACATACAAAAATGTCAACTCTCTGCAGCTGGCTGTATCCATTAATTCAGACTAGTCACCTGACTTCTATATGATTAAATTCAGCGTACATTTCCCCCCTCTACCTTTTTGCCCACTCTTGACTTTCATTTATAATGGAACTGAAATGCCCTCATCAACTACCAAACACGGTCATCCTCTCTCTCTCTAACCATCACATTCTTTCTCTTCCATCTTCACTTACCCATGCTTCAAGCTGATTCCTCCACCAGTTCCTGTTACCCAGCCTAAGTCATAAAACAATCTACAAAGCTCTGGGATAAGATTTCTTGGATGTAACTTTTCCTAGAAATAAATAAATAAATTTAAACCGTAAGAAACATAACAAACGTAAGAATTTAAATTCTGAAACTGAGTTTAAAGGGGTAGTACTTTTGCACTGCAGCATGACAGTCTAATTTATGCTTAAAAATTTCAGTTACAAAAATGACCTTTACACATTTTAGGGGCCATTCACTTATTGAAACTAACAAACAAATAAAACTCATGTGTCATTATCCTTCACGCAAACGTTTAATCTAAAATTTATTTGAGTCCAGTGGCCCAGAGGTAATACACCAGTAAGATTAAGTAATAGACTATAGTAATAAAAAAAGAAATACAAATGCATCTAACATTATCCATTTTGAAAAGCTCAACTAATAGCTTTTCCTATTGAATCAGTTTTCTGTAGGTCTATTTTGCTTCACTTACGAATTTCAGTAGAACAGTCTTTATTAGTTCTGTTGTATAGTATTTTTACATAGCAATCAAAAATATCACAGAAAACGTAGGCAAACTGATGAAATTCACATGCCTACATTTTTACAATGTGAGGTTACCTCACATGCCGTTTGGCCAGAAGGCAAATTGCTTTATTTTAGTATTTCTTTCAGAAGGAAAAAAAGTTCTTAATTTTTTCCATATTCTACTGTTTATTGCATCATTAAATATATCTATACCTATCAATTAATCAAAGGCACAGTGTCAGATATTCATAGAATCATAGAATGTTTGTGGGGCTGCAAGGGACCTTTAAAAGTCATCTAGTCCTGCAGTGTGCAGGGACTTTTTTTACTAGACCAGGTTGTTCAGAGCCTTGTCAATCCTGTAACTACACATTCATAGGTAATCTAAACCAGAATGGTTTTACAGTACAAGCCAAAACTATTTATTGGAAATCTTAAACATTACTCTTCACTAAACACATAAAACTAAGAAATCTGTACCTAAGAGGTAGCAATCTTTGACAAGTAAGTATTACATTGGAAAATTAAAAAATCAGAATGTTGGAATCATTTACATGAAAAATATAATCAGTGTACACAGAGAAAACTAAGACACTACTTTAATTAATGCTGTGTGCTTTAATTTATGCATTTGCATGTTGTCTAGAGTATTTCTTTTAGCTTATCTGAGAGAATAAAATGTCTTCCCGCATTTATGACTGTACAAATAAATGTTGTATGTGCTTTCACATAGATCCTTATAAAATTGAACCCATACAAGCAAGAATTAAAAAGGAAACAGAGGGAAACTTACCCCTTCCCTCTCCCTGGGTAGGGGAAAATTTCCACCTACACTACCACAGTAATACAGATGTTTTGGTTTCACATATGGGTATGTAATAGAAATCAGCAATTAAGCAAAACAGATGTGCTTCTTGATTGCAACAGAGAAATGGACCAGTTTTAGGAAGGCTAAATCCTTACGTTACCAAACACAGTCCCACTTCTGCAGCTAACTCTCACATAATTATTTTTATATATGCATTAAGCCTGATCAGTACTTCAAACTTCAACTTATTAGTGTAGCACCATATTCTTCAATGGCACTTGTTTCTGAAGTGATTAAAGAACTGGGATTCAGTTCAGATGCTATTCCCACCTGCTCTGATCTTGCCCCTATTATTATTTGTTTCTTTTAATATATTAAAAAATCATCTGTTTATTAATTTCAACTGATAGAAACAAGACTCTAACCAGCACTTCCAGAAGCTTATGTAAGAAGTTAAGATTTTTAAAGCACCACTTCACAATATCAGAGTACATGAAGAAAGACAACCTCAGGCCAAATAAACAAGCTCCTACATTTACAGTGAAAAAAATCTTATATCTTACCCATTCACACAACTGAAAATGAAAACATTCCTTTCCATCCTTTCACCTCTCTAAGTAAAAATATCCTATTTCATGTTTAAAATTACTGATAATAAAAATTACAGGTCTTTCTATAACTAAAAAAGGGTACTTGCTGTAATAAGCCTAGGAGTGAAAGTGTGCAAAAGCAGAAGGCAACTCAACAAGGTTACTCTTTGTCAAATCTCAATTAGCACTTAATTTTAGCATTTAATTTTTAATTTGATTTTTCACTTGAAGTAGAGATGCCATTGGTTATCTCTCCTTTCAGATCTACAACTGTGGATCTGCCCTACTACTTTCTGATACAGGTAACATTAACAATTTTGCTTGTTTCCTGCAATTTTGTTACCATTTTAGCCTAAGTTTCTACATGGTATTAGGTATGTAGAAAAACTGGACAAACTTCATGAACTAAGAGTATATTTTCAATCCATTAAAATTATTATCTTTAAAACAACTCTGCTGGTAAATTTTTCAACAAAACTGATTGAAAGTATTCAATGAAAATATAGAATATTTCCAGAGGTCAAATCTTCTCATGTTACACCTAATATGATTTTAAAAAACCCAAACAAAACAAAACCACCTTTTCAACTCCAAAACCCAGGGAACAATGTGTATAATATATGGAAATCAAAGTGGACTCAGGCTACTTGTGGAACAAACATATTGTAAAGGTTGGGGGATAATTTTCAAAAGGTTTAAACCTCAACTACAATGTAGATTTTAAAGATATTATGGTAAATAAAAAGTGCCTGAAATATGTATCTCCCTTTCACAAAGTGCTTAGAAATCATACAGTTTTCCTCAGAAATAAGCAGACTGCATAGATAAAATCTTACCATTGATATTTCATATTGATGGATAGCAAATCATTATGAGGTTTCTTTTAATAGCTGTACAGGTAAATTTAATGTGGTAAAACAGAATTGTGCTACACTGTATACAGAAAGTGAGAAAAGTAGCATTACTAACCTAGCAGGTTTCTGTTGAAAAGATCGTCTTCAGCACAGACATGGATCAAATAAACCAAAGCAGCAAAAAACTTCAAAAAACCCCCCGAACTTAGAAAAGTTTATTTTCTACAATGACTTTAGCACCACATAAGGATTCTGTAATGCAAAAGATTTTTTAGGTAAGAAAAATAATTAATTGTAAATAAGATATAAGAAAGCAACGTGGTGCGGATTCCACTGGGTTTAAAAGCCTCAAACTGTCAAATTTTATAGCAAGTACAGACCTCCAAATGAAACTGATCATTTATGGTGTGCCTTTTTTTAAATTGCAGCTATCAGAAGCTTTTATAGTTGTTTGTTGTTTTTGTTGTTTTGTTTTTAATTACAAGTGATCAGCTGCTTTACTGCTCAGCTTAGTCATTTATGTTCTTGAAAGGACATTTCCAAGATGAACACTGGTTAGCAGCAGGAACCTACATTAAGGGGGGTATTCTGTTAACACCCACACAATAAAGAGAATAAAAGTAAAAAATAAATACAACATACCAAAACTGACAGGCAGGTTATTACTTAGTACCAATACCTTAGCTGAAATACTAGAAAAAAAAGTTGTCACTGTTTTCTCCCCCCACTCAAATACCACAGTGACTGTAAAGTTAAAGACTGGGTGATCCTTGATGGTCTGAAATAAGACCGTAAGGGGAACCACGATTTTGCAAGCAGCTCAAGATTTTCTCCTGGCCCTTAGAATCACAGCAAGCAGAGTCTTTGTTTAACACAGGCCCTGTGAACAGGAAGACCACTTGCATTTTGTTGCAGTTGCTACAGGGGGCTGCACACCATTGAGAAAATGCCTTCAGTTGGTGTTGGACTTGCAGAACCAGGCACAGGCAGGCAGTGGTGGCAGCATGGAAGAAATACGCACTGGTATAAGACAGTAGCAGTGGTTCTGAGGCAGGAGACAGGGAAGGTGAAGTGATGAAGAAGGCAGCCTGGGGCAAGTTTGACAAGGTTTGGAAGCTCCTTCTTTAACTTCATCTTTAAAACCTTCAATGACAGTGAGTCACAAACTCCTTAGGCAATCTGTTTAACTGTCCCAGGTTAGAAATATTTTCTTAATGCCTAACCTAAACCTTGCTTGCTGAAACTGAGGCTTATTACCAAACAGTTATGGAGATAAAGAAGATTCTCTTATCTTTCATCTCTGTGACAATTTACATATTAACATATCTCCATTTCCTTTTTTTTTTTTCCCCCTTTTTTTCTTTCTTTTTTGGTAAAGCAAATTCTTTCCCTTTTCCCTGGCAGGTCACATTTGATTCTCATCTCCTTGTAATTGGTCCACACTCTTTGTGAAGTTTTGGCTGCTCTCTTGATCAATTCCACATACAAACAAGACTGGTATTTCAAGCCTCATTCAGCTGATGCTCCTAGATGCTCTAGCATGATGTATATACTTCATTTGATGAAGTGCAAATACCAGTGATTCATAGTCAGGTTTTGATGACTTATAGCAATGAACAGTTGCCAAAATACAAAAAAGCCCAAACAATCAAAACCAGAAAAAAATTCCAATAACCCCAAACCAAACCTAAAACCCCCTCGAGCTGCCATAAATAAATTAATTATAAAGCCAACACTCTGTAACGGCAGTCAGACTGTCAGCTGGCAACATTTTGGGAAATATAGTACCTTTCAGAACATCTCTATACTCCCTGCTAAACACTAACTAGGAAGCTAATTACGAAGGCTACAGATACTCAACAGTCTGAACAACTGCAATTGCGAACTGCTATCCTGTAGACACGAAGTCCCCCTAGGCAGTCAGTGAGAAGAGCGCGGGGCAGTCAGGAGCATTAGAAGTGGCACAGGAGGCCATGGCAAGGCATGGCACGCCGGCAAGGCTGTCGCCGGTTCGCTATCCTGTCTTGGGCCTCTAGGATTACCTCCAAACTGGAGAGGGGACTCTGGTGCGCTGGGGCCCGCCTGCAGTCAGGGGGTGACCGACGCCACATCACGCACCGGCGGGCTGCTGAAAGGGGACGCCGCCGGGACAAGGCG